GTGTGTGTGTGTGTGTGTGTGTGTGTGTGTGTGTGTGTGTGTGCGCGGTGCTATTGACTATAAACTTACTTTGCTTACATCACATCCCCTTATTGACCTTCCATATTCTCGTCAACAGTTGGCTATGGTGGTGACAACTCGTTTCACGCCCTGCTTATCTTCTCGTACTGCTGCAGAGGCCAGAAAACAAGCTGATAACTTGCTGCTGCAGCTAGACAGCAAAATTAAAGAAGCATAATTGATTGTTGGGTGGTGAATGTGTCATACAAGAAAGAATGGCAGTTTTTTTATCCTTTTTTATCCTTTGAAAGGGGGATGTTAAGGAGAGACACTCTTGCTCTCTTGCTTTTCAAAATCATTTGCAAGAGTGAAAAATGCTTAAATGTTTTAAAAGCCCCCCTTCAGTCCAAAAAGAGATTTGCTTATTGTGTCATAATTTGGAATTTTTAGCTTCACTGTGCATGTGCAGTGTTTGACACTAGAAGGCTCTTTTCCCATTCATGTGCTGAAGAAAGTCACCTTAAAGGTTCAATATACGGGATTCAGAGCATTATCATAGTGTAGTGCTGTCTACCTGAGCAGAGACTGAAGTCCGGCTGGGCATGCATTTCAGTGCATGTGAGTCTCTCTGTTGTGTCCCACTGGTTAGGTAATGGCACTTCGCTCATACAGGAGTTACTACTGATAACATCCTCCCAACCCACGGGTAATCGTGGAAGCGTAGCACCCTCCCTCCGGTTCCCCCTAAGGTTCACACTGTTAGATCTGTCAGCAGCTTTAACATTGCATGCGCTGTTAGCACCGTTAGCTGCTAGCCACTGGCTCAGCCATTACTTTTAGTAATACAATTTAAGTGAAAAGCTGCTCATTTAAAATGACTAGAGACGCTTATAAACCTGTTTCTAAGGCTGCTCAATATTTCCGCATAATATTTCAAACAGAACTCTGTGTTGTGTTGTTCATCCATCGTTATTTTGGAGAGAGGCAGGCTAGGCTATCACCGCCCCGGTTAACAGTACTTTATGCTAAGCTAGGCTAATCGTCACCAGTCTCCAACTTCGTATTAAATGCACAAATGTATCCATTAAGATTAATGAGAAATGTTTCATCTCATTTAAATCTTGGAAAAACATAATAATCATGTTCCCCAAAATATTGGACAATTTCTGTAATACAGTGCTGAGCAAATGAATGCTATTGTCAAGAAAGATAGATATTAGTGTCTTACTAACATTACATTAGTCGCAGTAGTATACATATTTCGTCATCATCCCATGTGAACAAAATATATGTAATTTATCCAAAAGTAGCTTTCTGCTCATTTTATTCCTAAATTATAGATAAATGGCCCAAAAAAAGAAAGTAGGTTACTCGTCTTATTTTGAAAGCGAAGAGCAGAGTCCGGAACTAAAATTCTTAATGAAGTTTGGACAACCAACACTCTTCTTTTCCGACACACACGCACACGTTTTGAAATACGTTACAAGTGAAACTTTTCATCAATGATTCACTCTCTTAGACGACCTTCCTTCATGAGCGTAAACAATAAAAAAAAAAAACTGAGCTCAGATCAGCTTCCGCCGTCCGCGAGCCTCCAACAGCTCCGTGAGCTTTAGAGTCTCCTGAGCAGAGCGCGCACACTGACCTCATCCCACAGGTGAGCAAACTGTTACTTTACAGGTTTCACACTGATAACCCAGATTATCCGAAGAGTGCCTGTTTGTTTCTAAATTACATCGATTATATTTGTATTTTGGGGGATAAAACATGTGCCAGGATATTGTCTTACCTTTCTCCTGATCCGCATTGTAGGCTATTGTTCTTGTTAAAATAAACGAGCTAGTAACCTTATAGTGCTGCTAATATTAGTATACTGCTGCTAATATATTCAAAATAACATACATGATATCTGAATTACTTTAGTTTATAATGACCTCAAGTTATTGATCTGCCCTGATATCACTATCAGTCTGTGCAGAGTTCAGTCTGTTTAGTTAATTTTATTGGTCTTTGAAACTATTCAGATCACCAACTTATTTCATAAGTTACTTCTGTCTTCTTTCATTCATAATATTGGCTCTATAGTTAACTAAATGGGGAGTTTATATTTAATTTCTGGCCAGACATATTGTGGGATACCTTGCCTATATATTCCTGAAAAAGTCAAATTGGGTCTTTTGTGTCGGGGTTTAAAACAAACAGACTTGTCCTGTCTGATGCACTGTGGCAGGTTATTGGAGTTGATTTGGTGGTTCAGAGTCTCCTACCTCTTCTGAGGAATAAACACAAAATAAAATTAAACAAATCTTTGAGTGTTGTCAGCAAAGAAGGTAGCCGTACTTGTTGTGGAAGGTAAAAAAACAAAAACATATCAATTATGCATGATCATATTACCTGCAGACATGTCCTCTTTGTATGCCTGTATTTATTAATTAATTAATTAACTCAGATCAATTTGGTGGATTTTATTTATTTTATCTTGCAATAAGTCACTTATCCAAACTGCAAAAGACAAGCTGAGAATGCTTTGCATATGTATGTGTTGCCTATTCTATTCACATTTTTGATTGAATTACATGTACATCAAGTCCAGCTTTGCCCTGTTTCCTATTCAGTATGTCAATCACGTGTTACTTCATGTAGATTAATGTGGGAAAACTGCCATAAACACGAGTAGGCCTCCAGCTTGGGGTAAAATGCACAATGCAAATAATGTAAATGCACTGCAGACTGAGGTGCCTTAAGTATCAGTCTTTTCTTAGGGAGCAGAAAGAAGTTAGCAATAACATGTAGATTCATTTACAATGGGGGAAATAAATTGTCGGACCACAGCTTTCGGCTTGAGTACAATAAAGTGTTAAGTCCAAAACGGGACTCAGTCAGTGTTAAATCGATCTTTTTAGCCCAGAAATTAAAACTAGAGATGCTTGTTTTTTAATCTGCTATTTTGCGTGTTTTTCAGTCGATACACAGCTAATTTGGTGATAAAATTATTAATTACTAGATTTCATGTAGTTATGTGTCGCCTCAAAATTTGTGGGGATCACAAACAAAAAAAGTTTTTTTTGGAAAGCTTTAAATGTTTGAATTTGGCTCCTCCATCGTCTTGAAATAGAGAATAACTATAAATAGATAAACTGGCCTGAAGCTCCTGAAGGGAAGAGAAACTGAAATCATGGGGACGTTTGTTTTATTTCTGTGTGTGTGTGTGACCTTTGTCAGATATGATAATGACACAGCAATATTTACCATGTAAACATGTTCACTGATACAGTCCCTACACGCACGCACACACACACACACACACACACACACACACACACACACACACACACACACACATAGAGAATATGTAGACAATGTCCTTCATTGCGTTTCTGTTGTTCCAGCATCTTGTTCCTTACAAACCAGAACTACGAGCTCATCTGGATCCTTAGGTTGTCATACTGAGGTCAGCAGTTTATTAGGACACACACACACACACACACACACACACTGAATCCAGGCTCATGAGAACACATCTTATCTGTGCAATGAGAAAAGGCTGAAGAGATAAAGGTTCACCACCACGGTTGCATCCTGCACAGCTGCTGACCTCATGACCCTCAACATCTCCTCTCTCAGGTCTGAAACACTGATGCTGGACCAGTGGGAGGGGAATAGATAATGGCCATGGCACACTGTAATGTGAGTGTATTTATGTTTGCATGATGCAATTTTGCCTTATTTCATTTTGGGCCATGTGACTGGGGTTCTGCCTGCAGCCAATGTTTTAACTCTATTTTCTAGAAATGGATGTTTATTAAATATCTCTGAGTATATTTTTATTAGCGATACATCCAGGAGATCTGAGGTGAATGTGGTTGTGTTTGTGTTTTAGTTTTCACAACACGATTTCTTGTAATGTCAAGATATCTCCACCCCCCCCAAAACAAATTCCTCAATATATTAGATATATCAAACGGATGATCTCTAACAGTGGGATCTTTTCATTAGATGTTCTGTAATTACACAGTGATCATGCAATGAGAGGAAATGTGACTCCGATCCTCGTGGTTTTATTGTAAGGCTGAATATTATTTCCCTTTTGGTGCCACTGCATGTCAGAAGTTCATGGAGACCATTTTGTCTCAAAAAAAGAAAATAAGTGACTGTTACTGTTAATGGAGAACGGATGATTTCCCTCTACTAGACTGTTTGTCTCTCAGCTACGTCAAACTAGTGCAATTGAGGCCAACCTGACACTCAAGCAGCCGTGTCTGAAATCTTAAAAGCATGAACCAAATTGTCTAATAAGTTTTGCTTTACAATCTGAAAAAACAGATTTTCACAAAAGTTGTTCAAAGAAAACTGACATTCACCCCTTTAGTTGGAGGAGTAGCTGGCCTGTGTCTGTCCCATCATCTTTGTAATGCACAGTCAGGTTGTTTGCCAACTGAAACGGGACAGAAGAAGACAGTTTATTAAGGGATGCTGATGTTAAATGGTGCAAGCGATTTTAAGTTAATGCAGTCTAATCTTTCTTTCTTTTGTTGACTTTTGTTGTGTTTGTTTTGTGCTCCAGTTGCGGTCACCATCCTCCTCTCCTCATGATGATGTCAACCTGGGACCTTCAGCAAACCCTCAGTCAGTAGCTCTGCTCTCACTAAGCAGCATGTCTTTATATTACCACACAAGATATACAGCTACTAACCCAGTAAAAATAAACTTGCATTGTCTTCGCTAAAAGTGTATTTCCAGTGGTCTGGATTAGATATTTTCAGAAAATAATGAGAGGCCACTGTTAAGAGAATGGTCCATTTGAACTAAGTACTGTTTGCTCTTTGTCGGTCGCTTTTCTACCATATGTAAGCTATTACAAATATAGTACTTCAGAGTTATTATGTAATTCTGTCCACCATTTAATAAACTACTCTCGGTCTTGTTTCAGTGCCAGGCCCACTGACTTTGACTTCTTGGCCGTCATTGGCAAAGGGACCTTTGGAAAGGTAACACTGAAACAATTACTTATGTATCGATCTATATGTCTCTTTATTGTTGAATAGATATCTTGTGTTTTTCTTTCAGCAGTTTCCTGCATCTCAATCAGGTTACATATTCACCAGCAGGGAAAGTGGTTTGAACTCGACTAGTTCTCTGTGACACCAGCTGACGATAACAATGATAGATGCTATTGCAGGAATTATTGGTGGGTCGTATAGATTATAAGTTACTATCAGTGGTATACTCTCAATTAGCAGCAGCTGACCTTTTTAGACAGAGGAGAGAGAGAAATAGTGAGCTGTTGCTGACTTTGCAGTTATCTGCTGACTGCTGTCTGATGAAAATGTGCTGCCTGCTTCATGAATCATTTACTTTAGAGTCCACTGAGGCCTCTTAAGGTTGACCTGAACATCATCCAATCAGACGTGTTTCATATCAGGTGTATTCCTTCTCTACTAAACTCTTCATGTGATTACGTTCCTTTGTCGGCAGGATTGTATTTTCTACATAAAAAGTAATGTTAATGAGGTTTGTGTTGGCCGCAGGTCAATGTCAGAGCTTGTATCAACACACTTCTCATATTTCTCAGTGTCATCTGTTTCCACAGATCACATATCTGTGTTGCGTTCTCAGAGGGGCTCGATGTAATGTCGTGACAGCGGTGTGTCGAGGTGATGGCGCAGTCTGTTTACGAAACAAACCACTGACAAACACACCTCCATGCAGGTCCTGCTCGCCAAGCTGAAAGCGGACAACAAATTCTACGCCGTCAAAGTGCTGCAGAAGAAAGTCATCCTCAAGAAAAAAGAGGTGGGCTCCGCTCCAGCTGATCCTCGCTGGCTCCATCATTTCCTTTATGAACGAATGAGAGTTTGGATTTTCAGAGGCAAACCATTTTTAATTCAAATCAATAATACAATGTTGCCTTTAAGCATATGATCTGATACAAACTTACCAACTACGAAATACATATGCTGTATTACGTTTTAGGTGATTAAGCAGATGTGATTTTTGGAGATTATGACCAGGATGTCAAAATATATACATTTATTTTGAATTATACAGTACTCCAATGTGCCAGGCTAAAGTGGATGAAGATGGAAAATAGCTCCATGAGCCAAGAGGAAAATATGTGTGTGTGTGTGTGTGTGTGTGTGTGTGTGTGTGTGTG